ACACTCTTAGAAATGATATCTGGCCTTTCTGTCAGTTCTTTTCATTGGAGGTGAGTCAGTAAGCCCAGCTCACACTTCAGGGGTGGGGTTATATAAGAACGTGACTAGCAGGCGGGAGGAATCACTGGGGCCAATTGAGAGGCTCCCTACCCACGAAAGGCGAATAGAGTCAGCATAGGTTTTTATTATGTTATTTCATAATTGGGATGGAAGTTTTTGACATGGTTGTTGAAGCTGAACCAAGGCAGCAGGAGGTCCGCGGGCTACAGTGGAAGGTGGATGGGCGGTTTCTATGTGTTCACAGCCACTCAAGGTCATCCCCTAAGCTGGGAAGGTCACTGCTTGTGTAGGCATCTGCTCCCTGCCCCCCCCCCAAGCCTCCCCCCCCAGACCCCTGATTTGCTGGTGCCTTTCAGACAGCCCCACAGGAGGCCCAGTGCCTGAGGACACAGGGCCTTGCTTTCTAAAGAGGTGCAACAAAAAATACAAGAAGAAAGAAAGAAAATAGGGGTGCAGACCCAGGGGTATGCCGGCCATGCCCCTTCCTGATGCAGCTCCTGGCTGGCTCCATGGGTGCTGCTATCTCCTCTAACTTGTCTAAGTGCAGCCTCCTTCCAGTTTTGGTGTTTTTGGTTAAATTTAGTTTTTGTTAAATTAAAAATTTGCACATAGCCTTATTCTAAAAGATCTGATATTTACAGCCACCACCCTCCCCCATCGCCTCTCCCCACAAGCAGCTGCTTTACACTGTTTAACTGATTCTTCTGATTGTTCCCTTGATTTCGCTGAATGACATGTGCTTATTGCTGCTTGTAGATGTCTCGTCATTGTAGTGGTGGTGTTTATTGATGTGGAAGATGAAGAGCAGCTCTCTTTGATCCCTCCACTGTCATGAGAAACACACACACACACACACACACACACACACACCATCACGGCCTCCAGCTGTCATATAATCTGACACACTCATTTTATCATTTTGGCTTCATCCTTGACCCATGATTACATTATTATGACTCTGAATAGTCTGTCCACAGCCCAGCTGTGGGTATGTGATAATGATTCTTGCTCAACTTTTTAATTACTTTGGAGTTAATACTTATGTTTTTTTTTAAAGATTTATTTTTCATATACAGTATCTGGGGTCCAGACCAGAGGCGTGGGAGGGTGAGAGGATTCACCAGAGACATAGTGGGGAGCGGAACAGGCAGACAGACCGAAAGCACTGCTGAGGGGAGCAGCGGGCGCGACAGGAGAGGTCTGCTGCGCCATGTGGGAATCTCCCTGGCTGACTGGGAATTGAACCCGCACTGCAGAAGCTGCAGACAGCTCCTCAGCGCTGTGCTCACTGCTGCACCACTGGGGAGGCCCAATACTTATGGTTTTTTATTTTTTGGGGGGGTTGCATTCTGTGTACTTATCATTAATTCAATTCCAAATGCCCCCCCCCCCCATTATGTCGATCTCCTCAATATCTTCAAACTTCAAACACATTAGGGATCAGTTTCAACCATGGTGGTAGCTCCTGGAGTCCTCTGATCTGCTGTGGCTAGAGCCTGACTGATCTGGGCCTGTATCCCCTCACTCCTCCTCGTCCCCTGCTCCTCCCCTGCTGCTGCTCCTCCTCTATGGAGGTATAATTCCTGTCCCCTACAGGGCACTCTTTTCAATGCACAGTTTAGTGGTTTTTAGTATTTCACAAGGGTGTACAACCATCATCACTTTCTAATTCCAGAGCATTTTTAAATCAAAAGAAACTCTATGTCCATAGCAGCCTCTCCCCATCCTTCCTTCCGTCCAGCCCCGGGAAGCCAACACCTGTCCGTGACATTTTGTGTAAACGGAGTCACGCAATACGTGGCCTTTTGCGTCTGGTGCCTTCGTTTGCCATCATGGCCTGTCCTGCTGTGTGAGGTCGTCCCTCACTGCTTTTATGCTGGGGGGATTCATTGTGTGGAGTGACTGCTTTGTGTCTCCCTGGACACCTCTGGTGACCACGTAGATGTGTCCCTTTTTTTAATTATTTTGAGTACTTTCTCACTGTTTGCACTGGATCCCCTATTTCTTAGAATTTCTGTTCTCTTCCTGTATTTCTTCTCTTTTGACAGGAGGTAAAATTTTGAGAGATTGCATATCTGAAAATGTCTTTTTTTTTTTTAATATTTATTTATTTATTTATACAAGCACTGGGTACAGTCAGAAGCGTGGGAGGGTGAGAGAATTCACCAGAGCCAGAGCGGGGAGCAGAACAGGCAGAAGGACCGAAGTACACTGCTGAGGGGAGCAGCGGGCGGCAGGAGAGGTCTGCGCGCCATGTGGGACCCTCGTCTGGTGGCCGGGGATCGAACCCGCGCTGCAGGGCTTCACAGCCCAGCGCTCAACCACTGCGCCACTGGGGAGGCCCTGAAAATGTCTTTACCTGCTTCTCCTGTGGCTTGACTTGGGATGTTATAGACCGGAAGTCATTTCCCTCGGGATCTTGAAGGTGTATCTTCATATCTTCATTGTTTCCCAGGCTGCAGCACTGCTGTTTATCATACAGCATTTCTCATTTTCCATCCTCAGTAAAAATTCAGCTTCTACTCCAGAAGCTTGCCCTCTCTCCTCTTTGTCTGTCATGTTCCCAGCTTCACCGAGGGGCTCCAGGGATGTGACGTCTTGCACGCGTTGGGCTGGGAGCTTGATGACTGCTCCTGCCTCAGTGCTTGCGCCTGTTGGTTCGGGGTATTTCTTGAATTGTAGATTTGACTTCTTCCTCTCTGTGTTCTCTCCACTCCTCCCCCACCCCCTCTTCTTAAGTTCTTCTCATTTGATCACTCTTAATTTCTTTGTTTACCTTTGCCTTTGTTTTCTGGAAATTTCTCTACTTTCATCCATTAAACCTAGTTGTTCCATCTGCTGTCATTTTGCTTTCCAAAAGAATTTTTCTGTTTTGCTCCCTCTGCATTCTTCTTTTACTTCTTTTTAAATATCTCTGCATTCTTGTTTCTCAACTACATCCTCTTCTCCCCTCTCTCTGGGAACATTAATAGTCATTTGCTTCTGAAGTGTTCTCCCTAAACCTCTCTTTCCTGCCAGCTGGTTGGTTCTCTGTTTATTTTGCTCCTTGTCTGTCATGTTAGGTGTCTGTCTCAAACACGAGGCAACTTCTGGCTGTGTTCTTAGATGTGGGGTTGGGGGGCTGATTAGAAGTTGGTGGTCATTTACTGTTGGCCTGGGGGGGCATCTAGCTATGCCCCTGCATTGGCCACCCCGACATTGGTCTCTAGGTTTCTGCTCTTCATTTGGTCAATTCCCAGGCAAAGGCTTTCTGTTCCCTTCCTTAGAGGTCTACGTGGCTGCCTGCTCTGGTTACGGGGTTTGGGGGAGGAGGGGAGAGCCTCAGATGTTCAGCCTGGATGACTTTTTCTATGTTTCCAATAAGATACCCCCACCTTCAACTCAGTCCAAACCTACTGTTTTACCCTTTTCCAGAGAAGAAAGCCCTAATCGCCTGCTAATTGCCTCTTAAGAAACTTATCTTTTCTTTTTCAACTTTTAGTTCCATGTTCACTACCACTTTTAGAAGTGTCTTATGTTAGCATTTTATCAGCCTTTTCCAAGCTGCCCCATTTAATCAGATTATATTTTGGGTTTGCCGCCTCTTGATGAGCCACAAAACTCTCAGGTCTGTCAAGTTATTCACCGGTTGCCTGCCTGCTTCTCAGCTTCTATGATTTTGCTTGTTTTTTTTTTTTTTTTTTCTTATTATTATCCTTTTCCTTAAGGGTAGTAACTTTGGGATTTTTAAAAATTGGTTCTTTAATGGGATTTTGAGAGGACTTGAATGTAACTAATTTGCTCAGTGTGTTAACTTCAAGCGGCCGGAGCTGTGGTCAGCCCTGGGGTGGACAAACTCAGGGTTTTACTCTAGCATCTTCTGTGCTGTCAGTCAGGACCCTAGTGGTTGTGGTTCGTGGAGGTCGGTGGGCTAAAGGGGGAGATCGGGTCAGCTCAGACTCAGGGATTTCTGTTTTTTGCTCTGCCTTTCCCCACTGTGGAGTTCTCCCTCTGACTCCCTTGCCTCTCCCTTCCGGGTCCCTGGAAGTCTGACCATAGAGTCTTCTTTTGCCTCATTACATCTCATTGTGCTTGATCAGGCCACCCGGGAGGTCCATCTCCCAGAACACGCACGACATGGAGTCTGCAGAGCTGATGCTTGTTTTTTAGACTTGTGGCTAATCTTATTCTGAAAACCCACTGCTGAGTCCTTTCCTCATCGCTGGTGAGTTCTTTCCTGCTCTTGTTCTCCTGCGTTCCCTGGGTCTATCTGGCCCACTCTTGGTATTTCTTTGTTTACTCTTTACCAAGCGAGCTCATATGCACGCACACCAGATAGCAGACCCAACACCCAGTGTCCGCTGCTCGCGCCTGCTGACTGAGGGGCTGGTCTCCTGCGGGGGTGTCTTTGTGCCATTGTTATGAGTTGATTTTAGAGTTTTCTCTGAAGCTGACTTGCTTTCACACTGGTGCGGCTCATCAATGCCAAGTCTTACTCTTTCTACATGTATGCTCCCCCCTCTGCCTTGCCACACTGGGCTGGAGGCAGGCATTGCCTCACTGGAAACCTTTTTTTCTTGGAGAAAAGGAAATTTGATCAAAATGAAAGATGTGTGTGCAGGTGTATATGTCTGACCAAAGCCTTGTCTGCCCTCCCACGAATTGAGAAGTCGTGATGGGATTATTCCCCCAGCTCATGTGCTTCTATCTCTGTGGTAGTCCTTCCACTTTAGATACAGCTTATAATACAGCTTATAATACAGCTTCTCTCTGTTGTACTTGTGTGGACTGTTGCAACGTTGCAAATCGGTCATTTTGATCACACCCCCTCGCCCCGCCAAAAAGGGTGTTCTCTCTGGAGAAGTCATTTAGAAAACAAGGAATGTGGGTCCCCCCCCAAATGGGAGAATACTCTTTGATTACTATTCAAATATTCATGGAATGTCTTTCTTTTCCTGAAGCTGTACCAAATCTTTGGAATGTGGATGGAGAAGTCACAGTCACTGAGCAGAAGCTGGGAGAGGTGGCTGAGGAGCTAGCAAGCACCTATGAGAGAAAGCTCATCGAGGTAAGGCTGGCACAGTCTGTGTGCCTTCCCACCTTGCTGCCCTGGGCATCCTGCAGAAGCAGGCCAGCCTGGCAGACAGATGTCAGCAAACAGCCAGTGAGACACTCTTCACCCCCTTCACAACCAAATACAACATAAGATGGTAACATCCGTTCACTTGATAAAGAAAAGTCAGAGCTGGGCCTTTGAAACATATCACTTCATTCAAACTTTTGGGCCCTTCTGGCAAGGAAATAAGAAAGAAAACATAAATATGTCATGTTAAAAATAAGAAATCAAGATGGCAGTGGGGTGAAGAGACCACTCTGGGATGGTGGGGGGTGGTCCTCAGTCTGACCGAAAACAACAAAAAAAGGAAAAGCAAATGTACTCCTGGATTTGGAGAAGGTCAGGACAAGGAGAGAAGATCACATCCAAGTTTGTGCTGATCTGATGGTGTGGACACAGGGAGAGGCAGACTGTCCCCTGGGTGGCGTCCATTGCCAGTTGCAGACAAGGCCGCGTGTCTGAAGAGAACAGAAGACCTGGGAAGAGAGTTGTACAAATAATACAAGAACTACTGCCCTAGGAGGTGTTGGCCTAGATGGTTTTATGGGGATTTCCAGGAAACTGTTCAAATAGCAAGAGCCCTTTGCTATTTATATTTCCTTAAAGCATTGAACACACACATGTTTAATTTACATACCAGATACATGTATGCATCCATGTATATATGTCTGTGTGTATTCGTGTATGTTTGTATCTTGGCTTAAGTGTGCATTGCTCCAAGGTAAAAGAAAAGAGTAGGTGCCCCCCCCCCCCCCCGGTGGCACAGGCAGTTGAGCACAGCGCTGTGAAGCTGTTTGCAGCCTCTGCAGCACTGGTTTAATCCTGGCTGGCTGGCCGGCGAGGGTCCCACATGGTGAGGCAGACCTCTCCTATCTCGCCTGCTGCTCCCCTCAGCAGTGTATTTCATCAGTCTGCCTGTTCTGTTCCCTGCTCTGTCTCTGGTGAATCCTCTCACCCTCCCATGGATCTGGCCTGTACCCCAGGTCTTGTATAAATAAATAAATAAATAAATAAATAAATAAATAAATAAATAAATCTTCACTAAAAAAGAAAAGAAAAGAAAAGTGTAGGGTTTGTTTATAATTTCAAGGATGGTTTAGGGTTTGGGATTTCAAGTCAGTTTGTTAATAGATCAAGGGCAAAAAACCAGGCGTTTATCTTCATACATACTAACAGTCGTCGATTACCATGATGCCTGACAGAAGTGTTCTTGATAAATGCACAGTAAAGTCCCTTCTTTGATGTGATAAAATATTTTTATCAGAAACCATTAGTGATGCCACAGAGCTGGGAGGCTCCATGTTGGTGAGGTGACTGACGTGGGCCATGCAGGCCTGTGTCCCTGCCATGGCGGCCGCTTGTGGTTTATTATAAGTCTTGTGCATGTGTGTGTATACGTGTGTATACGTGTGTATACACACACACTTATACAGCTGTACTTCCAATACTTTCTAAATCTTCTACAGTGAGTAATTTTGAGTTTTGGAATTAGAAAATGTCCCCCATTTGCCTTGGAGACTTGCCTGACCTGGGGGGTGCATTTCAGAGGCAGTTTTTGAGGAGGTGGCCCTCAGCTCATTTCTGATTCCGGCTGCTATTCTTCTGACCTCTTCTGGTTTCTGATGAACTCAGAAGGGAGGTGACTTGAAAGCAACTTGCCTTCTCACTCAAGCGCATTGGAGACAAGGCAGGCAGGTGGGGGCGCCTAGAGAAGGTTAGAAGGCAGGATGGCAGGGCCTGCAGCCTGAGGAGGCTGGGCATCTCTGCAGGGCCTCTCCCCACCTATGGAGCCTCACTCAGGGGGTTATCAGCCAGAGTTGCTGGTCTATTTGCAGAGAGCCCAAGTGGAGAGGGGAACAGGGCCCTTAACCCACAGGGTCGGGACAGTCTGTGCATGTTCTGAGCCCCTGGAAGGCAGAGACCATGTTCTCGCCTCTGCATAATCAGTCACCACTGACTGGCAAGCAGTGAATAGGTTGGGCTCCATTGTGGAGTTAGGCCTGGTCCCATGTTGTACACAGCTCAGTCATTGGCTGGAGCTTCTAGATAGTTCCTCTTTTCTTTGGGATGGTTCATGGTGCCACTCAGAATTTCTTCTGTGAACTTCCATTTTTCTTGAAGATTGGATGTCAGGAGAAATGGATTTGTGTTCACCAAGGGCTTTGAAGAGAAACAAAGTTGGACACATCCAAGAAAGATCTGTTCTGACACTCTTACTTCTTTACCTCTTTCAAGTATCATTCCTTTGGCTGAGACTCATCTCCAGAGATTTTTCCACTCTTTTCCAGTGATTGCCTTCAAGATAGATATAAATTGTCGGTGGACTTTAACCCTGCATGTCTTTGCTCTGCCTCCTGCAGCCTGGCTTGGCAAGCACACGGTGTCCCACATTGACAGACTGAGTTCAGATCCATCACTACTGCCACACACCCCTGGGCAGGCTGCCTAGCTGCTCTACACCTCAGTTTCTCCATCAGTAAAACGCAGCCTCTGGTATGGACTAGGAGGGCTGCTTGAGGATTCAGTGTAACAATGATGTCTCTGTGCCTTCTCTCCCCGCTGTCCTGATCTCCTTCCGGGGAATGACTTCTCACCAGTGCTTGCCATCTTGGTCGGGGAGCGAATCCAGCCCAGAGCTGATGTGTAGTCTGAGTGAGGGGCATCGGGCCTTTCACTCTGGAGTTCTTCAAGAGAGGCAGGGATGCTCCGGAGGCTGTTGATCCAAAAGCAGGATCCTGGCAATGCCCCGGTTGTATTGAACTGGCTGCAGCTGTTCTGGGTTCAGCCCCTTCTCCGAACCAGATATTCTGACTTTGCTAAGCTTAGGGTGGAATCTGTTTCTATTGCTTTCCTCTAAAGTCCCCTAGCTCATGTGGTGCTTTGTGTGTTTATGTGGCCAGCGGGTGTCTTGTCCCTGCTTACAGAGCTCTTTTGTCCAGCCTCTGGACAACTATCTTGGCTCCTGAATATAGGCAACCCCCAGCTCAAGTCTGCTCTGCTGTGGACATGACCCTGGTCCTGCCAGGCCATTCTCTGCCAGCAGGTCTTCCTCCCCTGTGGCCGGACTCCACTAGCTGTTGATTCACCTTTCAAATTAGAGGATCCTTATCATTTACTGTAGAAGTATAGTTGGCCCCTGAATTTATGCTCGTGGGTAAAATAAAGGGTATATAAGCAACATTTATTCTCATTATAATGGCAGAGTTACTATTAATGGAGAAGTAGGCTTAAGCATCAAGCTGGCAGAAAATGCATTCATAATCACATGCTGTAGATGACTATGAATGTGATCATCATTTTAATGAAATGTAAGAGTTCCTGAAGCAGCCAGGACCTTGGGAGCAGTTATGCTGCCAGTGTTTGCTGCCTAAATTGGCACCGATGGGTTCCAGCAGTCTTGATGTATCTATGAGTCATTTTTATACAAAAGAAGCATGGACTTTTAAATAAAATGCAGGGTCTTGTGTAAATAACTTGGGGTAGAGAGCACTGAACTGAGACCCACATTAAACTGATGCTCAAAATGGAAAGTGTAATGTTTTGTACTTTAGATGCTTTATTTGCAGGATGCTGAGGGAATGAGGACCATGCTCTCACCTCATGTAAGGGGAAGAAAGTTTGCTCACCACACAAAACTGGGTGTTTAAATGCTTGTTAGGTAATGAGTGAAAACTGGTAGGGGTTGTCTTTTCCAGAGAATAGGTGTAATTCTCACTAAAGTGTGAATGAATAACCAGGCCAAACCTCCAGGGAATTCTTAAAAGCTTTTTATTATAGAAAAGCTGTAACATACAGTTGAAGAATATAATGAGCCTCCATGTCCCCACTGCCTGGCTTCACAGAGTTACTCGGTCCCATCCTGCTCCCCTGTGTCTTAGGATATTTTGAAGCAAACCCAAGGTTTCATATCATCTTATTCCTAAGCATTTCAGAATGCTTATTCCTAAGCATTTCAGTGCTCTTACAAAACCCTCAATACCATTCAGTGCCTCATAAAGGAAGTCGTTGGTTCTGATGAATTTCAGATTGGAAAGACAGAGAGGGTGAGGGGAAGAGATAGGTGGTGAGAGGAGGAAGGAAAGTGGGGCGGGGGAGAGCTTTTTTTTTTTTTTTTTGATTTACATTTAAGTTGCCTGTACCTTTTATTATTATTATTTTTAATATTTTATTTTATGTAATTCTTACATCATTTTTTATTTCTGCACAATGTATGCATTTTCATTTTGGTTATATTCCCCATACAATTGCACCCCCCCCCTTATTTTGACCCTAATTCTTCCTCTCCCCGCCCCCGTCCCCCTGTAGTGTGTCTCTGGTTTATAGCTGCTTGTTGATTTTGATTTTCACTTTGTATTAATTAGTCTTTTTCCTGGTCCCTTATTTAGGTTTTCTAGACTCCTGCTATGAGTGAGACCATCCGGTATTTTTCTTTTTCTTTCTGGCTTATTTCACTGAGCATGATCCCTTCCAGCGCCATCCATGTTGCTGCAAACTGCATGTGTGCCCCTTTGAGGGTCTGTGGCTTACTCAGTTGCCTGAGGGAACACCTTAGCCTCTGGTTCACGCAGGACAGCCAAGCGCAGGTCCTCTCTGCTTCCCCCTCCTGCCCTCTGCTTGGCTTTCTACGTTGATGCCACGTGATGTCACCACAGATGTGTCCCTAGCACAGCTGCACTGGCCCTTGGTGATTTGGGATTTTGGAGAAAATGGGGCGTGACCATGGTTTGCCGGTTTCACCAGTACTGGGGGGGTCCTGGCCTTGGCTAACTAGTTCCCTGACTAGTTCCCCTCTTTGGAGGAGAAGGGAAGGCTCTGCCCCGTAGGGGGCTCCAGCAATATTTTCAAACCATATGTTTTTATTACGGATACTTCTGATTTATGTCAGAGGAGATGGAGGAAAATAATGTGCTTTCCTGGGCTGAGCACTCGCTGCAGCTTGTCAGCTCGCAGCC